CCTACTAAATCTAAAAGATAAAACGCTATTGAGTTAATACCAAATACTTGTGATATGGTAAAAACTCACACCTATGTGTAACACCTGATCTGCAGTGCTGTGTTGAGATATAATGTAGCATATTACAATGCACGGTTACGCGGTGCAACACATAGTTGAATTAATGTTATTTTAAGGATAAAAATAAAACATTGTGATATGTTGAAACAACTCACCACAGCGTGTGTGTGTGTGTGTGTGTGTGTGTGTGTGTGTGTGTGTGTGTGTGTGTGTGTTACTTTTTTTTTACTTTTTTTTATTTACTTTTTTTATTATTATTTTTTACATTACTGTCAGGGGGCTTTGGGAAAACACTAGGGGTCAAAACAGACCCCTGCTATTTTCCTTTCGTAATAGAAAAAAAAAAAGAGATTAAGTATACAGAGTCCTCAAATCTCCTCCTCTGCAGCTCCAGCACTCATTGAACAGGAAATACTCAGTACAGAGCACCTGCTTCCCATTCCCTAAAAATGAAAATAGTATTTTGCCATGTCCCAAGCTATAAAAATGACAGGAAGTGTTGTATGCAGAGATCATCCTGCCCATTCATAGACAGAAGACATAGAAAGCATCTACTATGTCCCCAGACATGAATGAACAGGAAGTGATCTGTAGTGCTTCCTCTTAATTACTGAGGAGAGTTTACTATCTCCTCAATGCTGAATAAACACTGAGGTGATCAGAATTGATCACTCCAGTGTTTGTTCAGTAAAGGATTGACAAATATTAAACATATTTGCTGATCTTCTGCACGGCATCCTGAATCTCTCTGCCCTGCCTGTCACTGGATACTAGCTGCCTGCAGCCCACTCTACTCTGCTGGGCACCGGCAGCATGCTCTGCTGTCCCCCCTCTGGTTACTGTTTTTGTTCTGTCATAAGCCTTAAGTCGGTGGCAGTGAAAGGGTTAAATGTTTACACTTACTTTACGACTTTAGAGGGTTAGTTCCCCTTTACATCACTTTTCCCCAAAAAGTACCTACGCATTCCAGATTGTGTAGGATATTAAAAGCAGTCCTCAGATTTTAAACATTTTCAAGGGATAACTGAAGGTTGTGCCCAGCATGTCTGTAAAACCGCTAGTGTAAATTGTTATCGGGTATTTATACATTTTAAACACATACTTGTAATCTACCCTGAATCATGAATTGAATTCATAGAATGACAGTGACCTAATATGGCCATGTGGTCAATTATGTCAGCATAAGTACCTTGCCCCTTTGTTTACTTGAAACTGCGGCACAGGCAAACCCAGCCCACAGCTAATTAGGCGGGTGGCCTATGTCCTTTCCAGATTCGGAAGAGCTCAGGTTCGAAACGCGTTTTGTCTATTCTCAAGCCCATACTTCGTAATGAAAGCAATGCTACAAAAGTCCTGTGACCTTTTTTCCATCTTTTCTGGCACATTAAGTGGCTTTAAGGTAAACTGAAAAAAGTTTTGGATTTAGATTTTTTTTCAAATTATTATAATATAAAGTTCATTGAATATTGACTCAGCAGCAGCTTTTATAAAAACAAAGGATATGGTCATTATTTCTTAGATAGTGTACAATATAACATGCTTCACATGTAAAATAGTATTATGCTTCACATTTAAAATAGTATTAAAAAGTTGAATAGCTTCTCAGAATCATACAGAAAAATGACTAAGTGCTTGTCCAGACAAAGCAACATGGCAAATCTTCAGTGAAAATCATCCAATGCTCTGTGTGAATAGGCACCACACAATCTCCCCCTCAGTCACATGGTCAGGGATGGCAAAGGGGGGAAACATTTATGAACAGTTATGATGAATTCTTAAGTAAATGAGGAAGTGGGAATTAACGCTGTAAAGTTTGTAAAAAAAAACTAACAGGGCTATTCACTCAGCTGCCAGAGGCAGCCGAGTGAATAACCCAGCCGAAGTGAACCGAACAACGTTGCTATTCACTATGGCTCAGTAAGCTGATTTCAGCCGTACATCAGCTGAAAATCAGCCATACATCGGCTGCACTTCGGTCAGATGAACATGGTCTGCTTGGTGTCAACAAGGCCTTACACAAAGCCACTAAAAGTCAGCTTTCTGAAATTTCTTCTTTTGTATCCCACAATTCTTCATACAGATTCATGGTTTATGTCTAGAATGGGTCCACCACTATGTGAGCAAAAAGTACTTCAAGAAACATGGACAGCAATAGCTGATGGCCCCTCAGTGTTCTTTCAGCAAGGATATCAGAATGACAGCTAATAGCAAACAATAATGGCAGTGCTACTTATGCCATTGTTTATTGTTATACAGGAACTCTATTTCTTATGGTTGTCCAGGAGCTCTTTTGTACCCTTTGTAGATTGTGGAAAGCATAAGTTGAGAGGCCATGTCACAAAATCCATCCAAAGCAGTTGGACCACACTGTTTATGACTGGTTGTTACCAAGCAGCCAGGTGCTTTTTAGATAGACTGATGATTCAATGCCTGTACTATATGTTAGGCTTAACGTTTACAGTAACCATGGATACGGTTTAATGGGTTAATGTGTGTACTGCACTGTGACTGATTATTCTAAAACATGTTCTTAGAGCTTCCCTTCACATTTGTTTGCAAATGAAATTTCACTCATCTATAAAACTATATCAGCTTTGTGACATATGCTTACACAGCATAAGGGGAACAGCACCCCATAATATTGTTTGTAACCGGTTATAATTGCAAACAGCTATATATACAGTTGAAATACGTGTGTTTGAGCTGTTTTACCTGCCAAATGTTTTTTTGTTTGTTTAGCCAGTTCTGAAAGTTACACAATCCACGGGTTAGTGAACTCACTGCTCACTTTCTCTACAGTGGTTAAGCAATATTTTGTCCTCAACCTGTGCATGGACAATGAAGGCACAGCAGCTCAATGATTAATTGTCTCCTCTCTCTACTTCTGTCAGCAAGTTTCTTGTCGGAATATAAGCATGCAGCAAAACCTGGCTTGCTCTACAAAGTTTTCAGGAGGTTGATATCTATAGAAATTCTAGCACCTACTTTGAGGAAAAACAAAACAAAAAGGCGACCGATACACTTTTCTTTAACGATACCCACCAGTGGAAAAATGGACTTTGGCTCAGACCTAGACAAGGGGGATTGGCAGCATATATGGTCTATAACCAAATCCTGTTTCACATGTTTCAGCTGTTGACATGAAATACAAAGTCATTTCAAGATGGTATATGGTGCCCGATCTAGTCATTGTGCAACAAGCTACTCACCTTTCTGTTTTCGAGGATGTAGTCTGATGGGAACATTGTTTCATAATTGGTGGATGTGCCACATAGTTAACAAATTTTGGACTGAGGTAATATCCCGCAACCCTGCTAGGCTTTACCTTAGCACCCCGAGCACATCATGCCCTCCTTAATGTCCATCTAACGGGCCTTCTCAAAGTGCACTTTTTCTTCATGTTGCCCTCATGGAAGTGAAGCAAACTATAATTTAAGTGCAAACCCTTTCTGTTGGTGAAACTAAGTACAGAGTCACGTAGGCCATTCTTCATGAAAAAGGTTGAAGCCAGGTTGGCAGACTGCATAGATACGTTTTTTCCAATCTGGTATGCCTGGACTGAAAACGTTATCCCTCCGAAGCCTGATCTCTGTCTCTTTTATACTTAGATACCCAAGTGGCCACAGTTGCTCACTACCCTTCCTGCATGCTACCTTCCCCCTGACCCCTACCTCCCTTCATCACCTTCTGATTTCCCTCCTCCCCTCATGGAGCCCTTTACCCCATGTTTCTATACTCAAGTGTGCTGATGTATTACTGGCAGACTACGACACTATATTGTCTGCTACATTATTATTGTATGCATAATGTCTGTGCCCAAAAAATAGCAGTGAAACAGAAATGCAGAAAGTGAATTATCTGGATCTGGGGATATGGTATGACACAAAGAGTACAATAGCAAGGCAGTAAATATCCAACACTAAGCCAAACTGAACTTGTTCAGTATGAGCAGGGATACAGCCACAAGGTGGGGCTGTGCCTTTGCCTAGTGTTACACTAGTACATTTTTAAATCCCTCCATCCATGCTAAACAGTGTGTGTAGGGGAATTCTCCCTGTCTGGCTTTTGTATTCTGACAGTGGCTGGCGATTTTCAGATTGAAGGATGTGTGGTTGGAGACCACTGACTGGGCCACCCAGGGAGAACATTTTGGCTAGTTCATCAAGAACCAGCCTATATTTGCTCTGTGTATGGACACCTTAATGTGACAAACTCAGGAGCTAAATCTTAAAAATGCATTCTTCAAGTACCTTCACAAAATGTTAATGTGCATCACTTGTATATAGATCCTCAAATCATCTCTGAATTCGTGCTGACACTTTCCATCCTTTCTGGAGGGTTGCTAATTTTGTTCCCTAATTTTCGTCCTTGTGTGTGTTGTAAAGTAGCCCCACTCCAAGCTCGCTCCCGTGATAGACTACGATCTCATATTTAGTTTACAAATTTTGAGATCGTAGTCCATCACGGGAGTGAGCTTTAAGCATTGGATAATTTACAACACAGTGTCAGTAGGAATTCAGAGATGATTTGAGGATCTACAGATGAGTGATGCACGAATAAGGTACGGTATTGTTAATAGCGATCTGGGGATATGGTATGACCCATAAGGAATCATACTTATGGGTCATAATGGGTGCATTAAGGTACTTGAATGCATTTTTTAGATTTAACAACTTTAGTGTCACTTTAATGCCTTAGAGAACAGAAGCATATACCAAAAGTCAAAGAATTATTGCTTTAAGAAAATCCAATTACATTTTCTAAAAATAAATACCAAATTTAAATGGTGTCTAGCTCCATAAAAAGAAGCTTTAATTCAGTGTTAATCTACTTAAGCCCAATAGTGTTTTCTTGCTGCATGAGAAGGTGGCAATTTCCAGCTATATTTAAGGTATGTATAGAGTAAACAATAAGTCAGCAGTCAATAACAATCTACTCACCTTGCAAACACCAAGCTGCTAATTCCACAACAGTTTCATATGGACATTTCAATCTATACAACAAAAGAAGAAAAAAAAGCACCCATTATATTCAATCTCAAGACATCATCTTGAGATGATCAGTAATAGAAAACAGAGATTTTGATAGTTCAGATGCTGAAAGCATACATTACGTTTGTCAATTATGTTCATATACTTAAGGATTCCAATGGGGTAAAAAAAAAAACCTATATTTTAAACTACTTGTACATGCATTTGTCTTAATCTTGCTCTTACACAAATGTTATACCAACATTGTGACTCAAAAAAATTGTGAAAGGAAAAATGCATGTTGCCACTAATATTTGAAAGGTGGCCAAGATGTTTTTTGTTCTATACAGTATTAGAAATGCATTTGAAAAGGTTTAGCTTTGATTAACAGGTAGAACAATTTTGTTTTACAAGTAGAACAATGTTAGGGCAATTGTAAAGCTAATCCAATGTTGGAAATTCTCCTTGTGTATCAAACATCTTGTGGATTTCTGTAGAGCCACCCACGTATAAGAAAGATGGAAATGCATACCTCAGTGGAAAATGGTCCAGGAATTTTAAAAACATTCCATAACCCGCAAAGGTTACAAGCTCTTTTTTTTCTAGGGGCCAAGATGACCACTGATGTCATCTTGGCCCCTAGAGAAAAAGAAGCACATAACCCATGCAGTACAGTGGTAGACCCACTGCAAGGGAAAGTTTTTAGAATGTCCGAAGTTCTTCTTTACCCCCTGAGTCCCCAGGTTTTTTGCCCTAACTCCCCTTAAGTGGAAGGATACATCACATTATTGAAGGTATTGACTTTGCATCGTTGGAGTGCGAGTGACCATTTATCTATTTTGTACTATTGGTGGAGACATCTGCGGTCGCAACGGCACCCACCCAAGTTTGGGTTTGTTTTCGGTCAGGAGTGCGGTGGGATATACCTTGGACTAGTGTTGTAAAGTAGCCACCACACCAAGCTTGCTCCCGTGATGGACTTCAATCACAATACAAATTAGTAAACTAAACATGAGATTGTATTCCATCATGGGAGCGAGCTTGGGGCAATGCCTAATTTACAACACACACAGGGACCATGGGGAACAAAAGTAGCCACCCTCCAGAAGGAAGGACAGTGTCAGCACAAATTCAGAGATGATTAGAAGATCTACAGCTGAGTTATGCACAAATAAGGTAAATTTTTGTTAATAGGATATTTGAATGCATTTTTAAGATTTAACTCCTGAGTTTAGTGTCGCTTTGATTATCAAGTTTTGTCCCTCAATAGACTATAGAGAAAAATGCCTTTTATTATTATTAGGGATGCACCGATACCAGTATTTTGGTACCGAGTACAAGTACCGATATTTTTTTTTGGTACTCGCCAATACCAATTACCGAGTACCGGAAGTCCCATCCAGGAAGCCGGGTGGCGTGTAATGACTCGCCACCTGGCTTCCTAATTGGCCGGGAAGCCGGGCAGCGTGTAAAGACTCGCCACCCGGCTTCCCGATTAACAAGAAAGTCTGTCCCCTCTTACCTTGGTATGTCCAGCCTGTCACCCCAAGGGTCTCTCAAGCCAGAACGCGGCCCTCCTCTGGAACCCAGCTGGAGCCGTCTGGCTGGCCAATCAGGAAGCACCCTGCTTTCTGATTGGCCGGGAGGCCGGCTTCATGCTCCCTCGTCATGAGACGACGAGGAAGCATGAAGCCAGCTTCCCGGCCAATCAGAATGCCGGGCGCTGCGTCATTACACGGCGCCCGGCTTCCTGATTGGCCAGCCTCTCGACCAATCAAGAAGCCCGGCATTACGGCTCCATGCTCTCTCATCACAAGTGACGAGAGAGCATGGAGCCACTTCCCGGCCAATCAGGAAACCGGGCAACATGTAATGATGCGCTGACCAGCTTCCTGATACAGGAAGTATTGGGCTAGGCATCGGAGCATTTGGCCGAGTACGAGTACTCGCCCAAATACTCGGTATCGGCACCGATATCCATATCGGTATATCCCTAATTATTATTATTCAGGATTTATGTAGCACCAACCTCCGTGGTACCGAGCAGAATAGCAAATCAGTGAAACTAATAATAATAAAAAAAGGTTAACATTTTTTTACAAATGCAAATAGTTAAATTGAAAAAAAATATTTAAAAAAAAAGAAAAAAACAAAACAATTGGGGGGAGCTAGCACTGGCAGCTAGCTCTGCCCAACTGTTTCTTATTGGCCGGCACCTGCTAGAATCTTCTACCAGGTCCCAGTCAATAAACAACTGGGCAGAGCTGGCCGTGATGTCACGGCCAGCTGCGACCAGTTATTGTTCAATGACAGTTCAGTGTCCCCAGGTCATTTCGAGACGCTGATCTGTCATTACAACTGGGCGGAGCTAGCCGTGAGATCACGGCTAGCTCGGCTCAGCTGTCATTTGCGGAGCAAAAGGCTGGCCTTCGGCAGGCCGTTCACCCCGCTTCGGCTGTCACTTCGCTGAGCCGCTTGGCCGCCTTCGGCTGCTGTACGGTCTATAGTGAATAGTACGTACAGCAGCGCTTCGGTTTGACTGAATCGAAGGGCTCCGGCGGCCGAAGTTACGGCTGGATCCTTTGGCTCCTTTGTGAATAACCCCCTTAGGCTTTTTTAACTGATTGGCAGATTAATGTTTACTATAGAACAAAAAAAAGAACCTGTGTAGATCGCATTAAACATTTTTGGAAAAATCAGTTCACAAAAAATAGCTATATTGTTCTTTATAGCTTGTTGATTTAGTGCCTTTAAATGCTATGAGCCCTGAACACAAAAGGAAACATTCTGAGGAAGAGGAAGAAGCGGTAGATTTTCTTTGGTATTACATAAAAGACAGCAATCTAAGAATCCCCTTGGATGTGCATGATACAATGACAGGTGCTGTCAACTAATGTATCCTGCATAGGAAGCATGCCATTTTGAAGTGTCCCTGGGGATGCTGAATTTCCAATAATACTCAGAGGACTTGTTTGCCAACAATTTTATAAGAAAAAAGAAAGAAATTTAGAATAGCAGGACCCTTGATAATCCCTATATGCGTTTCTTTCATGTAGATACTTTATATTAAAAAAGAAAATGTATTTTAAAAGTATACTCATTGTTAAAGTCTGCTTATATGAGTATATGCCACACACAAGTTCCTCCCGTCTATGAAGCATCTAATTTACACATATATAATACATTAAATGTACTTACTTTCCTGCAAGAATATCTTGTCTAAGCTGTAGTACAAATAAATACCTTAAATAAAACACATACATTTTAGTATATTTCTGAAGATGGGACACAAAAACAAAAAGTAAATGACATTATTTGAAATACACCCTGGAGGTAATCATATGCATGTGCAATCAAACTTTAAAGTATCTTTAACGCCAGGGCAGCTTGCTGAATCGAGCCCAAGTCTACTTTTTGACACTTTTTTTTTTTTTAGAACTGACCCGGTCAGCTATATATACTGTGGGAAAAACTTTCAACCCCCGTCTGAAATCTAGTATTGGTTTTTCCTAGTATAAAAAAGAAAAATGTACTATTTACTCTGAAGGCATGGAAGATACTGCTTTACAGCTTTACCTCTGCCATAAAGTTCCACTGTTTGTGTTGTGTGTGGGTTACCACTGGGCAACACTATCTAGTGCTATGGCTTAAATTATCACAGACAACACCCAGTTAAACTAGTGCTTTGAATTGCACTATTTCAACAATTAATTCCAGACAGCAGAGCAGCAAGGGTGGGTGAATGCCGACTGACAGGGTGCAAAGATGATAGAGACCTATCTACATGGACTTAAAGGAAAACTATGAGGCGAGTGATTTCCACTCATCCTCATAGTTAGAGCTGACCTGTGACAGAGAAGCTGTCACAGGTCGGCTCTATTGATTGGGAAGTGAGCAGAAACATGCACCGATCTGCTCAATTCCCGATCGTCTCCCTGCAGTGAGCGGTGGCTCTCAGCTTCGGGTCACTGGAGTATATGTTCCCCGTGACCTTAAAGAGAACTATGAGGAAAAACACTCCCCATAGTTTTCTTTAAAGGATGTAATTGCACCCAAAAGTGTATCTATGAAATATTGACTTTAAGGGTCTTGACTTTATAGGTCTACTTGCAAAAAATACTACATTCACTGTAATTCAATAATCAATGCCAATAAAACATGAACAACTGAACCTCACTTGTAAAATGCTGACAAATTTGTGGTGTATATACTACATACCTTGTAAACTCTTCATGAAGATTGTTTGGTTCGGAGGAGTAATATTTAATTCGAAAGTGCAAAGTATACGGAGGACCAACTGTTAAAAATAAAAAAAAAGTTAACTCATAAAAACAGTCAAAAATTGTTAATTATGCAATTACGGTTTACATTTTAATATGTTCAATCCTATCACGTGGTTCTGCTAAAAATACTATGACTAATAAATAAAACTCTATAAAGTCAAACTAATTTTCAGTTAAACATAAAATGCACCATAACTACATAGAAACCGTGCGTGTCTGCGCAGGTGCAGTGTGATGCGTTCCGCTGCATTTTTTGTGTGCTTAAAATGGGATTCCGTGCAGTCCACTGCATTTGTATGCTTTTTTAAATGTGTTCCATTGCCATCAGGTGCAGCTAAAGTATGGCAAGCAAGCTTTTTTCTTACTGCATCGGAACTGACTGCTCTGGTGTAATCAGAGCACCAGAAATCCCATTGGAAAGCATTGTGACGCGATTGATGCAGCTGCCAAACTGAATGGACTGCATCACAACTACATCTGGTGTGAACAAGCCTTCATTCCATAAAGTTTCTTTTGTGGGCCTCCACAAAATGTATCCTTTAAGGGCCTGTTCACATGATTTTCAGGTCCTGATCAGGTCTGGATCAGGTGCGGATCTGCAGACGCGGTGCTACTCATGCAGTGCGTTTTTTACGTGTTTTCGGTCCGGATGACAGTTTGTTTTTTTTTCAAGCCGTGGGGCTGTCAGTATGCAGATTCTTCCTCTGAGGTCACTTCCGCCCTCTCGTAACATCTACTTCCCTTTGTGTATGTAAAGCTGGTGATCAGACATGTATCACATGTTTGCAGGCATGTTGATGGTGCTGGCTACAGCAATCTGCAGAGAACGAGCTTGCAGGTGACGTGTTTATTGGGTACATCCGACCTTGAGGCTCCGGGACTCCAAGGGTCAGTTCTGGAGTTTATATATGAGGATTTGCGAGCTCACCCGGATACATTTTTTGCCTTTACTTGTATGTTCATGCAAAAGGTAATGGGCATGTTTAAAATGTTTGCAGTTCATGTATTTACCTCTACCCCAACCTGTGTCTATCTCCCACTCCGACTGCCTCTGACATCATAAAAAGTGGAGCAAGAATAAAACAAATGTTGTGCTTAGCGGCATTGTGTTCCGTTTCCGTTCTCGCCACGTTTGTGCGTTTCCTGACCGGACAAAATGTGACATGCAGTATTTTTTCTGTCGTAGCCTGAACGGACTGCGCACGCGAGAACTGTAGCCCATAAAACACATAGGGATACATTGGGATGCATATTTAGTGCAGGAGCGTACAGATCAGGACAGCACAGAAAACGGACGTCGTGTGTGTCAACAGGCCCTTAAAGAGTTGGTGAAAAGTGCCAGTTTTAATGTGGCAGTTAATAAAGAGTGATGCAGTGCATGTGACATTAAATTAGCTATACAAGAGGTATTCTGCCAAATCAGAGATCTACTGTCAAGTTAACCATAACAGGGCATACTTGAACTTCAGATGCCAGTTAAAAACAAAAATAAAGAAAAGCTTGAGGGAACTAGCAACATCTATAGACAAACCAGTAAAAAGGGTAATTGGCGCCAGAAGGCATAAGGCAATAATGTGCTTAAGCTCACAGCAAAAAAAGTGCCAACATATGGAGACAGAACAAAATTTCAGAATACTAGTATATAAACAGATTTGCTCCCCTTAGAGAAGAAAAATACCAGGCTCAAACATCTTTTTTAGGCAGAAATTTGTCAACCCTCAAGATGGGGGGTAACTGGTAGAAACCCCGATAGAAAGAAAAAAACAAAAGGTATAGAGAACAAAATGGATGGTCATCAACAAGAGGAAGGTGTAGGGCAGGGTGGAAACTCCAAAACAGAAGAGATCATTCAGTGAGGATTGGGAGCCCAAGGCTTGAAATCATAGTAGACAGCTCCAAAAAATTAAAAGAACACGCTTTTAATCAGAGTATAGCATCAAGTCAATGAAACTCTTGGGATATTGAGCAGGTCAATTAAGTAGCAGAGGGGGTTGTTAATCAGTTTCAGCTGCTTCGGGGTTAATGAAATTAACAACAGGTGCACTAGATGGGCAACAATGAGATGACCTCCAAAACAGGAATGGTTTTACAGGTGGAGGCCACTGACATTTTTTTCCCTACTCATCTTTTCTGACCGTTTTTTACTAGTTTTGCATTTGGCTATAGTCAGTGTCACTACTGGTAGCATGAGGCGATAGCTGGACCCTACGGAGGTTGCACAGACATGCCAACTCCTCCAGGATGGCACATCAATATGTGCCATTGCCAGAAGGTTTGCTGCGTCTCCCAGCACAGTCTCAGGAGCATGGAAGAGATTCTAGGACACAGGCAGTTACTCTAGGAGAGCTGGACAGGGCCGCAGAAGGTCATTAACCCATCAGCAGGCCCAGTATCTGCTCCTTTGTGCAAGGAGGAACAGGATGAGCACTGCCAGAGCCCTATAAAAAGGACCTTGAGCAGGCCACTGGTGTGAATGTATCTGAATAAACAATCAGATTTGGTCAGAACATGGTCACATGGCAACGCTGACCAGTGAGCAGCGTTTCTACTTCGGACCGTACACCAGCTAGTGGTGGGGGGATTCTGCATACAGCTAAACTGTATGAATAGCAGGGGCAGGCAGAGGTGGTGCAATGCTCTGGTAAGTTTGTTTTCTCATTTCTCCGTAAGGCGGGATATCACTGGATCCACAATGAGGAATGGACCACTTCTTAAAGCCAATTTCCACCTTTGCAGAGGTATTTAAAAAATAAACATATGCCAGCAATGTACACCATGTGTACCTGAAGTAGGCATTTGTAGCTGATGTATATGAACACACAAACTTACTTCCCTTTGTTAGCTTTCCTCTTCATCGTCTCATGGAAATGCCTGCCTGTTTTACAAGCTCGCTCTGAGATTTCCCATTCATTAGTATTGACAGTGTATTGTGTATAAAAGGTAGAGCAACTGTTTACTGATAATGTTACAATGAATAACAGGGAGGGTAAAGAGCTATTTTCAGCCTGATTACAATCCAACCCCAGTGCCAGACTGATTTGCCTGTGTTGAAAATTCAGAATTTTTAGGCTTTAGGCTTAATAAAAGGTTCATTAAAAAAAAAAAAAAAAAAAGGGAGGAAAGCCTGCAATGCGATTCATAAACATGTGCAAATGTATACATTATCACTGAACCTCTCCATTACCACAATAAATGCTAATCACTTACAAAGTTGGAAATGGACTTTAAAAAAATCCTCAATCATTTGGGAAGGAGTAAAGAATTTGACAGAAGTAGTGAAGTGCACTGGTTTGGAGTGAAGCCAGTTCACCTGAGGCCCTGGAGGGGGGGTGTCAGTCAAAGTTTTGTACCGGCGAGGGCAAACTCAGGGAAAATTGGTTCGTATCAAGCACTCTGCTAATCATTGGTCATGGGAATTCCAGTCTCCAAACAAAACAGACTGAAGTAGACCGTAAACCGTAAAACACTGACACCCCATTCACACTGAGCGACAGGCAACTCGTGCGGATATCCATGCGATCGTAGTAGCGCGATATAGCGTGACTTTTCACGCGACGATCGCACAAGCTTTCGTATTGGGCTGCATGAAAATACAAGCAAAATTGCGTGACATCCGCGCAAAAAAGGGTCCTGCACAAGCGACAAACTACAGGCGACATTGAGCTGTAGAATTGAACAGCTCCATTGCAAATCATTGGGTAAGCGAGATCTCGCGATATCAGGCTGCAATATGCACGATTTTCGAGTGCAAATCCGCTCAAAGTGAACGGGGACTGACAGTGTCAGTGATAAAACACACAAACCAAAGACTGGGTGTTGAGGGGTTGTCACATTGCGCAGAGGAATGGGCACTAAGGGGTTAAAACACTCACGTGTGGGCTGGAAACTAAGGGGTTAATGTGTATATGCTTGAGACAGGTTAAAGTATTAAAGTACACACATTGCATATTCATCACTGAAGGGTTGATGCTTATGCTCTCGAAGCAGATCACATACACTGCAGACAGGTCATTGATGGGTTAACACTTATAAGTTGGGGGACTGAATAAACTCTTCTCTGGCAGTTGATCACTGAGAGGTTAATGCACATAAACTGCAGAGTAGTGCGTACTGGAGGAGTGTCATGCTGCTGGTATAGATACTGGGGAGTGAGGCATGTGTGCTGGGGGGCAGGATACAGGTAAGAGACTAAACTGTGTCCAAACACACACACACACACACACACACCTGTAGTATACAGCAGGTAGTAAAGAGAAAAACTTTACTTCTGAAGAAGATTGCTGCTGAACTGAACACTCAGTGTTAAACCTCCAGACAGTGCATCTGGGTTCTGTGTGCAACATTTAACACTTTCACTGCCGAAGCCAATTTTGCACACATGTTATATGTTATTATAGGCCTGAAAATTAGTTAGAACCCCACCCACACACACTTCTATATTTCCTGAAAATCAGAGACCCTGTAAAATAAAATGATAGCAGTTGAAAATGTTTATGTCACATATTAGCACAACTCTATCAAACCCCAAAATTCAATAAGAAATACACAACTTTATTTTAGTGCATAAAAACACAATAGAATACCCATTTTTATATTTTGTAAAAGATAAGGTTGTGCAGAGTAAATAGATGCTTAACATTCCAAGCTTACAAACTGCGTGCCCCCATGAAACGGCTAAAGATTACGTTACCCCAAATTGTCCATAGGCATCCGTTTAGAGTTAACCAAGAATTTGGGCCCTAGAATTATTGTTCTCTCTCTCTCTGGCGCACGCGACGATACCCAACATGTAAGCAATGGCAAATGCCCTCATCAACTCATAACCAGCTGTAAAGCAAACAGTACAACAGCAAAAAGTTTCCCATCACACTGACCAGCCAGCCTGCAAAAAAAAAACCCTGTCTAACCGCTAAGGTTAAAAACAGAGGTTTTAGATACACGTCTTCTGCAGAATATGTGGAAGCCGCACGGCCTCGCCAAGGCCCCTCTGTGTAGTGTGGTCCTAACTCTAACCTACGAGAGTCTCCATCTTGGAGCATATGTAGCAAAAGATAAATTGGGTGCAGGTTCACCAGGAGGCAGCCCAACCTCCTTAAAAAGGCACTGGGACACACCAGGGACCCCGCACATCACAACGACACCTGAGATCCCCAGTGTCTCACTGCACCAAATCAGTCAAGCAAAACCAATGGCAAACGGAAAATGGCAAAATGCTTTAAAGCTGGTACAGGCTGGCTGGTGAGTGTGCTGGGAAACATTTTGCTGTTGTACTGTTTAAAGCCCTTCCATGTGCACCTTGCTTTAAAGCTGGTTATGAGTTGGTGCGTTTGCCATTCGTGCTGGGAAACTTTTTGCTGTTGATACCCAACATATGACGCAATTGATGTTTTCGTATGTAGGTGCACCTGACGCATGTTTGCAGGGCCCCTTAATGTTACCTTTGGAGACCATTGAAGCTGATCAAGCACAGCTTCTGTTTTTTACTCAGCAGGGAGATCGCCTAGCTACCTGCCCACACCCAGGATGCTGGTCCCGGGCAAGCAGGAGGGTCAGTGGAGCCTGAGAAGCAAAGCTGGGGGTGTTGGGGGGCACTGTTTATCGGCCCCTGGAAAAGCTGCCAGAATCCCTTCCAGTGTAAAGCCAACAGTTGGCTTTAAATAGGTAAACAGACTCCTGGTATTTAAAGGGGCCCACTGCTAGCCACATAGGGCATACGTTTCTGGCAGCAAAAGGGTTAAGGGGTGGACCTATACAGTGTTCAATATTCAGTTTGGGTGATCAGTGTGTGTGATTGCAGACCGAGGAATCTCTGGGATAAAAATTTAAGTGTGTGTGTCATAACATTGATAAATTTGTTTAAAAATATTTCATATGTTCAACAAAAAAGTGTATTGTATACCTTCCTATTATAAACTGCTTTTTGCTCACTGTTCTATTTAAATAAGGGTTTGTTTACACCAGCAAGCTGAGCTCAACGCACAGCTGCTGGTGTGTGCTGATCTTTTTTTTTTTGTTAGAATTTTATTGAAAATGCACATCAAGTGACATTTCATTATGTTTTATTGACACTACGTGGTGCGCTGGAGTTGTACCGCATCACATCATGCTGCGCTAAAAAAAGTACATACTTTGATTCAGTGCACCATTGCCTAGTCTGCAGGTTGGGGCGGCATTGGAAAAAGCGGCCTGCACAGACCCACCACTTGTGGTGTGAACAAGACTCTAAAGTATCCAAAAATCAACAGAGAGGCTCCATCCCCCATTTTAACACATAAGGAAGGTTTCCCACACTGCTTTTTTGTACCCCCACACCATTGGGACTGGTTACCTATCCAGGACTGGGTTAGTCTGATGAGTGTGCAGGGGTGGTGGATAAGAGGACATTGCTTTAGCTTACTTTTGTTAAACACAACTGTGGCTGTCCTGATAAAGCAGAGCAATCTGTGAAATGTATTGAGAAATGATAATAACCGTATTGCACAAGGGGATTCAAACACCTGTTGGTTATAACCACTAGAGATGGATCATTAGGTTTAGATCGTAGTTAGTGATATCAAGTCTAGAAAGTACACATACTGAACGTTGGATGGAGATGATATATATTACATTTAATGCCAATACAAAAAACAATGTTTTTAGAAACAAATGTATTGTTATGACATTCTTTATCCTTAAAAGTCCCGGTATACTATTTTGGCTATGCTTATTTTTGGGATGCGACTACCCTTATAGTGACTATTTTATAGTATTTCTTGCAAAATATACAAAATGTTCTGCATCACTGGGCATTAAACTTTTGAAGCAAATTGTTTTGAGAAATGTGCACAATACAATATTACCTGAATGCTTGTTTGTGTCTAGGTGCTAAAAAAAGTTAAACTCACCAAAACCTTGGAGCTCGCAGGCAGCTACTCTGGTCCCTGAAGCCTGTCTCATCATCCACTGCAGCGATGGAATGTCCCTCTGCGTCCTCCCATCTTATACACTGTATTGAACATGATGATTAAAGGATCCTTAGACTACTGCAGCAGAGGGTGGTAGAGGCTCCAGGGACCTGTCTAAGAGCAAGCCGTCTCCGAAGATCAGGTTAGTACAACTTTTTGTTTTTAGCACCTAGACACAAATGAAGGCTTAACCCTTGCATTGTGGGGGTAGCCTCACTACAGGAGTTAAGAACCATTTTGCCCGGAGCTCTGGTTTAACATCTTTTATATAATATTTTAATTTCTTTGGCGGGCCTTTACCAGCATAAGATAAAACACAAGCAATTCAAACTAAAACAAAAAGCAAAATATTTTAGGTACATACTTTTTATTTGTTTCTTAATGGGTTTCGTATGGTCCAGCCAATGCTTTAAAGAAAAAAAAGAAAAAAAATGGTTAAAATGCATACAAAAATAATTTAGCAAGAAGGTCTCTATATTTAGAAAAAAAAAAAAAAAAGATGTTGCACTTATCTATTGTGGAATGCAGCAATGCAAAAATTCAGAAACAATTGGGATATATGCTGCAGCCTACAGGAGGTTAGGCCACTGGCAAACAAAATAAAAACCTGTATAACCCTGCCTCTAACTGTCATGCCTCGGTTTTGTAAGCAAACATTGCATAGGGTTAATAAACACCCTCAATGGGACTTCAAGAAAAAGATTTTACAGGAAGTACAAACATTTTAAATTTTCTTTATCGTCCATTGAGGGACAAGGAAATTCAGAAATTCTAAAACAGTTGAGATGTCCAAAAGCAGTCCAACTGCCTGCAGCCATTGATGGATCTAGGATAGAACGAGGAGCTGTCTATAGCAACCAGAAGGACCAGCATGCAAATCTGAATTAGAAAATGTAAAGTTCCCTACAGGACAGGGCATCTGCAAATGGCCCAGGGGAGGTCACAGTGGATCAACCGGAGGTTTTGGCCAGGACTAGAATCACTGCAAAAAGGGAATGACTAACTCTGAGAATACAGAATCCATACAACCAGAAGCTGCGAGCCAAAGCAAGGCTCCAAGAAAGAGTAGGGATGTCTAGGACAGCTATCCAATCTCAAGATATAACCAAGTACACCTCCACAAGGAGACTGTCAAAGACCTAAGGAGTTGGAGATAACCCCAGTGGAACCACCTTCAGTCAGAGAGACTCACAAAAGGGAGAGAAAAATGGTACAGGAAGCATCCACGACCAAAACAGACAGGAGTGGGAAGACAGCCACTCCATACTAGTGCAGCAACACCAGAATACAACAGGAGGAGCAGACCTGTCCACAAGGACACAGTTTAGAGCCTGGCTATCTAATCCAGTACATGGGAGTGCAAAGTATCACCCCCTCCACAATCCAGCAAAGCATCAACAGCCATGAAATGTGGAGGAAGAAACTTTGCCTGAGAGTCACCTGATTAAGAGCAGTAGCAGGGAAGATATTCTGAGGAACTTCCCATAGAGGCTGTGAATCAGCCACAGTAGGAGGGCCTGACTTCAAATAATCCAATACCCAAGAGGACCCCTGGATGCAAGCCATCTCCCATGGTGAGTGTAAGAAACAGGTTTGCAGTGTGACCTGTGAAGGGATCACCAAGCCCTCCAGTGATGGTTCCTTTTTGCCATGCAGGTGGTAAAGTACACCGAAGTGCACAAAGCCGTCACCAGAATGTAGACTACAGGTTGGATATATCAAGGGCTGCAACGAACTAATCGATAATAAGAATAGTTCACAACTATTCTCATTATCGATTAGTTGGTTGGTGCTATTGCACCAGCCCACTACCTGCTGTATTTACATTCAGCTGCCGTCTGCAGGATCTTGCCACCGACAGCTGTCATTCCCTGGGGGAAGCTATTCAAGCTCCATGTACTTACAATACAATTATTACAAAAACATTTTAAAAAGTGGGAAAGAAGATATGGTTTTGGCCTGACATTCTGCTGTGGGAGGTGCGTTGCAGTGCCATTAATTTCAATGATATTCCAAACGTGCCTCCCACCCATAGTGAGATCGCCTGCACTGGAACGCACTTCAATGTCATGCGTTAGTGTGGTGCGATTGCAAAAAATTGTACATGCAGTTTTATTCTGAAGTAAACTGTGTTTGTAACACCCCATTTGAGTATTTTATATTAAATTAAGGATATTTCATTTTTTTTATCCGATTAATTGAAAAAAATATTTGGCCAACTAATTAATTATCTAAATAAATATTAGTTGCAACCCTAGCGATATCCAGAAAGCAAAAACTGTGATTCTAAAAGGTGCGATTGAGAGAAACGTCCCTATTGTCATCCAGTGTAGAAACCACCTTGTCTCAGGGAAAATTTCCTAGCCTTTCCATAGGTGAAGAACTTATAACACCAAAGTTATGTCCAACTAAGTCCAGGCCAAGGATCGCCTCAAATCCAGACTCCCAGATGCAAAGGGTAAGACTAAGGAAGACCAATGGTAAACAAGAGAAGGAGAGCCACTGTAAAAAAAGAGGGTGAACGATAGTTACCAATACTAAGTCAAAGTCATCTGTGGGGCTCCAACTGGTAAAAGGGAGGAGTTGGGCCCCCTAAATTCTGGCTATCAGAGTCATTTTCCAGGAAGGTTACCCAAATGTCCCACAATGGAGATGCCAAGAAAAGGTACTAGGGGGGACATATGGTCCAGTTCTGTCAACACTACAAGTGCCCTTGAAGAACCCGGAAGGGTAGGGAGCAGTGGAAATTGGTCTCAACTGACTCACTCACTCAGAAGGCCCCTTAGAGGAGAGGGAATATGGAGGATCAGCATAACCAAGGATCCACTTTTGGGGGAATAACTTCCAAGGGCTGTTCCTAAAAGGACAGGAACAGTTTGCAGCTGTAGGAGCCCTAAAAGACCCAAGGCCTATAATAGAAGGTTTGAACACCTTGTATTTCCAAGTCAACTGCAGGAGACTGTAGTTCCCCAAAAATAGCTTTCCCTATCTGTTGGGATTCTGAATCACAAATGACAACAGGTGCTGTAGAACCAGTGTGACACCTGATCACAAAAGGGTCAGAGACAGAATCTTTTGCAGATGGTGCTGCAGCACACTAATAACCCCTATGGAGAGAGTGATTGAGTATCTGAGCATCAACAACTAGGAAGACCTTACTGCACACACAAAAGTCCCCATGGACGTGGGGAAGGCCTCAGCCCCACCCAATGCAGCTGAATAGACTCCGCAGATGACCATGTGGGTTCCCATGTTCAAGATTACAGGCACTGTTTACACCAAGGAAAACCAGGTAAACACCTCCAGAAAACATTGAGAGTATGGGCTGAGGTCACCCTTAGCAGCGGGACTGTCCCCTACATCTATGAGAAGGCATGTTGTGTTGCATGCCATTCAGCAACTGGGCCCAATGTTTCAAGTAACAACAAACCCAGGTAGCTGGTACTGAAGAGGCGACTAGGTCACTATAGGTGGAATGGAACCATAGATCAAAATCCACTTTGTGGTTCAAGAGCAGCAGTGTGATGCTGCTTTTTCTAGGCTGAATGGTGGGAAAGAGAGCAGACAGAGCACACAGCACTCCACCTAGTAGATGTCATCAGAAATAAATCCCTCAGCCTTCACTCTTAACGCAGTGACGATGGTGGGAGGAGGGAAATTTGAAAAATGGCACCCAACTTTACCAAGTAGGCCCCGATGCTTTAGCCTGACTGGCTTACTCACTGAGTGAGCCCTCAAAGACAGGGTCACAGCACAGGCTGTACCACCACTCTGAACGGGGAAAGCACTCTGTGGCTAACAGAAACAGTATTGGACAGACTGGAAAGTGTCTGGGTACAGCCTTCAAAGTTTGTGCGAAGGATAAGTCTATTCTGATTCCTTCTACTTTGAGATCAGTCAAATACATATAATTCTTGAATGATGACAGCAAAGAATAAAACAACATTAGCAGCAGCAGCAGTGTATCAAGGATCTTGAGTTAAAATACTTAAATAAAAATGTATAACTATAGTTTTTTACTAGCTTTTTAATTTTAACAGCAGAATGAAAGAAAAAGCACCAACCCTCCAGGACATTGGCAACAAAATTGAGGCATTGCTGTTAGAGGTGGGGTTTTAGAGTGGTGGGCTTGCAACTTTTTTCTGTTTGCCTGTGTCCAAACCTCCAGTAGGCAGCAGCAGCATATAACACAACTGCTTCAGAATTCATGAACTGCTGTTTCCCTTAATAGACCATAAGGCCCCGTTCCCACTGCGCGATATGCAAATCGCGCGTTTGCATATTGCGCGACATCGCGAGATTTGCCGCGCGATGTCGCGTTCAAGCTTGCATTGAGCAAGCTTGAATCGCGGCTAAATCCGCTCAAAAAAAGGGTCCTGCTGTAGCGACACACGACCCGCGACAGCAGGACCCTTTGCCCCATTGGATTGCATTGGAGCGTGATATCGCGCGGTAATTTGCCGCGATATCGTGGGAATTACCGCGCGATAAATCGCTCAATGTGAACGGGGTCTAAAGAAAACGTATTTCAGTTAACTTTTAAAAAATAACTTTAAGCAAACAGCAAAATACATTTGAATACACCTTTGCAGTTATTAATAGTCAGTAGTGTGATAATTATGATCAGGGTCAGTGCTCAATACCTCAGCTAGCCCCACAATCGTCCAGACCAGCGGAGTCTGGGTACGGCCTCCAAAGCTATTGCTGTGGATACACTGATCTGAATAACTGTAGATAAAAAAAGACTAGCTCAGGAAGCATGTAGGAAAATTTTGATAGAAGCCAGAAAAAAAATAAATGTAGGAAAAAAAAAAAAAAAAAAAAAATGGAAAAAAAAAAAAC